CGGGTGGGCTCCGCAACCCCGGACCAGCCGCGGCTCCCGCCGGGCAGCGGCCCCATTCTCCGCATCTCCTCCGCGGGGGCAGCCCGGCCCTTGTGACCCATATCGGGGGCTCCCTTGCGGAGCTGGTTAGGACACCCAACTTTGCCTCCTTGCCTGTCGCCCCCGCTGGGAACGAACCTGCTCACTCCCCGGCCGGCCGCACGCCCGGGGACGGTGAGCCTACTGCTCAAGCCGGCACCCCCAGCCCAGAGCGCGGCAAGTGGGGTGCGGCTCTGGGGAAGTGGCCGGGGGCGGCGGCGGTTGCTGCCTCGACTTCCCTCCTCGGGCGCTGAAGAGGACCCTCAGACCTCGCCGGGGCTCGGGGCGCTGGATAACTGGCACGAGGGGCGCGCATCGCANCAGAGTGGCCGCGGCCGCAGCCCCCGCCGCGCCGCCCCGGGGGCGGTGTTGGTCGGCGGGTGGGCCAGGTAGGTCTTGGCTGGGCCGGTCTGCAGGCCTGCGCGGGAGACCGCGGGCGGTGGCGCGCCCAGGATTAGGGCTGCATCAGTGCGGGGCTCCCACAGTTGAGCTAGCGCACCGGCTGGAAGTTTGCGTCCCTGCCTTTGCGGAGGCCTGAGCGTGCAGAGGTAAGGAGCGGAAGCGACCCTATGGGCGACCGGTCGGTGGGCGAGACGGGACCCCTCCCCAAAACCTCGGGAAGGTGCGCAGTGGAGGTCTGTGCCCGCACCCGGCGCGCGTGCAGGCTCGCATCACCTGGAGCGAGGGGCAGGGGTCCCGGTGGCCCGGGCTTCGCGGTCCCGTGACCGCTGCCTTGCAGCCCCCTGGCTGGGGCGGCTTTTTCTGTTCTAGTTACAGCGGTTTTGAGGCGCGCGAGAGAAACTGGGAGGCAGTGGGACCTGGGCTCAACTCCTCCAAGCGCTTTGGTTAATGAGGGAGACTGAGGCTGGGGGCTGCCCTGAACGCCGGGGCCGGGGTGCACAGGCTTGGGGAACCCACTGCCCGGTGGGCTGCAGGCAGGCCAGTCCCTTTCCGCGGGCATCTCTCTGCGGCTCCACGGATTTCGCATCCTCCGGCTCAGGGTTTCGGGGCCGGAGGCGGATCAGGGCTCCGGAGGGAACCGGTCCTCCCTAGACGTGCGAGGAGACCCCGGTGGGGGAGGGATGTTCCGCGGATCGCTGCCCGCGGCGCCTTACGCGGTGCAGATCCGGATTTCCAGGGCTTTGGCGGGAACGCGTTCACCTCCCAGCCCTTTCCCCGCTTTGTACCTGGATGCGGCGGCTCGGAGTTGGGGTTGAACTTTCCTGCGCCCGCGGCGTCCCGGGGATCCCCGGAAGGGGGCGCTGAGAGCGAGCGCTGGAGCGCGAGAGGACGCGGAGCGCGGGGGCCGGCCCGGCGAGTGCGCGGGGGTCCCGGCCAGCGACGGCGCGACCAGGCAGATCTTGCAATAATCTCATAGGCGTGGAGGGTGGCGGCAGCTGATCTGTGGGCCGGAGGGAGCTGTCAGCTTTCCTAGAAGAAGGGACAGGAAAGGTTGTTGCCAAACGCAAGCCCTTTAAATAGAAAGGTTCCTTCCAGAGACAAACATATCACCGCAAACTCTTCCCGGCTGTGCATCTGTCTTCCTCCTTGGGACGATAGTCTTTACTCAGAAAAGAAATCGGAATTGAATGCAGGTAATGTGGGTTCTGTTTAATACTGACATAAAGTTCTGCTCCTCAGGAGAACATTAGTTAAAATGCCAGGGGTTACAAATGATTGCTGCAGATTGTTTTTAAGGAAAACAATCGTATGTCACCGTTAGCTTCTCCAGAAGAGCTCTGTCATCATGACCAAGTTTGGGAACAGCAGACAGTATGTTATTAATTATAGTTAGTCTCTAGTTTCTCCTAAGGAGGTACAGAAAGACAAAAACAGATTCTACTAGGGAAGATTTTAAACACCTAACTAGCATCGCTAAAGTAATTGTTAATTAATGCCAGCTTTATTATTAAAGAGAGGGTAAAGTTTATCTTGCTCTGTTTTGAGTGACCAGTTCACAATTTCAGTTCAAGCAGATGATACCTTAAGTTGTGTATCACTTAAGTAACTTTTCTGGTCTATGCCTGTGTTTACTCCGGAGGAAACATGGTTTTTTTTTTTTTTTTTTTTTTTAACCCCCAAAGAGTTTTACCCATCTTGCTTTTAATGAAAAAGCAGTCCACAGTGTAACTGTTTGGGTCACTTGAAACACAGATTTCACTTTGCTTGCGTTACTCTCCTGTAAAAACTTTGCCACAAATAGCAGCTCCTCTTGGGTGTTGCAGGGTCGCACTCGGGACTGTGGGGTGATGGACTGGCACCTGCTTTTACATGCCTTTAGCCTGTATGCACTTTTCTTAACAGGGAGAGGATGGACGATGCTAGTCATTTTATGCCTTTTGCAAATTGTACTAACTTATTTGATGGTTTTAATGGCAAACAGCTGCGAGATCCCTGCTGCGAGCAAAGACTTTGCTCTCTGAGGTGGTCAAGCTTGTCTCTGTCCAAAAGACGTTTTTCGAGATGTTCAGAGTTTGATAATGATGAGCCTGTGTTCCTCACTGCCCTTTCCTTTTAAAATTATTTCTTCACCATGTCTGGATAGAATGAAACATATGAAGTATAATGCAGTAGCTGTGGGACCCTAATGAATAGATGCACATTCACCTAAATTTTGGCTTAAGTGTTAGAGAGTTCGTGGACTTTCTGAAGCCCCATCCATGGCCTTGCAGTAAGAAATCTTGCTTCACAGTCACTTTAGACTCTTCTTTTTTTTTTTTTAATAATTCTCACCTGAGGATATTTTTTCCATTCCTTTTCAGAGAGAGTGGAAGGGAGAGAAAGAGATAGAGAAGGAGAAAGAGAGAAACACTGATGTGAGAGAGACACATCAATTGGTTGTCTCCCCCATGCACCTGACGGGGGCTGGGGATGGAAGCTGCATCCGAGGGCCTGGATTGAACCTGAGACTCAGGCCGACTCTCTAACCACTGAGCCAAACTGGCCAGGGCACCACTTTAGATTCTTGATCAGGGACAAATGTCAAAACCAACAAACTTTCCTTTCTGTTGTGTGTTAATTCTTTAAAATAACAGATGCCAGCTCCTTGAGACTACGTCAGATGCTCCTGATAGTCGAGAGAGCTGCTTAACTGAATCGTCACATAGGTTTTCATTAACTTGGTGATTATTTTTTAATTCCAAATGTCTTTTTGTTGTTGTTGTAAAGTCATTGAAATTGAGGCTTTGCTTCTGATACATATAAATTGTTCAGCCAAAGGTTTAGCGGCATTCCATCACATAAACAAGTAATCCTGAATCGTGGAGTTAACTGAGATTAGAAACTAATCCCTAAGAAGAGGTTTGGATTACAAATCATACAGTTTTTAGGATAGAACAAATCAATTAGTTAATGATATGTCCCAGTCAAGGAATCCATTTCTGTAGTAGCATGTGTCCAGTGTCGGAGAAAAGTCCCACATCCCACAGTAACTCCTCCATACTTCTCCATTCTATAATTACACCAAGTTTGTATTTAAAAATGCTTGTGAAATTGTTGCTATAGTTACTCAAAGTGCTTAGGGTATAATTATAACACCAAGGTGAAAAATTTTTATGTTTAGTGTTAAATAATTTTTAAATGTAAATTCCAGCGGCTTAACAAATTGAGTTACACCAGAATGCAAAGTGTGTAAGTGGGACCTCGCACATTTCCGCCCGCCTATATCTTTTTTCAAATTTAGAAAGAGAAAATGAGCTGTTTTCTTGAGTCCTAAGATGAGTGTGTATGTGTGTTTTAAGTTGTTTGTATTATCTCTACGTACTCTTATTGATAACACAGACATTTTCACATATGTTCCCAGCAACCTTTTAAAATTGAGACACAGAAGTTTTGTTGAAAATCGTTGGTTTTTATCACTGCCTGCTGCCTTGTAGAAATGATCTGCCACAGATAGGGGGCAATCTGCTGTCTCTAATCCCTGCACAAGGTGGTCGCATCCTGAAGTTAAATTTGGCAGGTGAGGAGTAGCTGACAGGCAAGCAGGTTGAGGAAGCACCTTTCGGTTGGCTTGATTCATACGCCACTTATTTCTTTGATGTACCCATCAGGTCCTGGTTATCTGATATATAAAATCAATTTCTAACAGCAAGAAAAGGAGAAAAAAAAATACGCTAGCATATACACAGATAAACTTTTCACTTTCAGCGGGCCTGCCCCAAACTTGTTTTGATTCACAATTTAAGCCAAATGGAACAACGCAAATGAAAACTTGATCCAAGAGAAGGTAGCTTATAATAAGTAATTTATTGTAACGTACTGGTATTGACACAATTACTCTTTGCCATTTGAAGGGTCTAGACCTAAGTTAAACCTGGCCCTGAATTTCGCAGAGTATTTTGAAGCTAGGCAACTTCAAAGACAAGTTGTATTTCACCTGGGGCATGACATTTAAAACGGATTAACCCAACAGTGTGCTCAAGAAAACAGAACATTTCTCAGAGGAGTTGCTGTTGTCTTTTTTTACCCTTCCTTTTTTTGTCCAACATTAATGGTTGTTTGACAAGAGCCAAGATGAGCACACTTTATTTCCCTTTTCTAAGTTTTAAAGTATACTGGCATTTGAAAAAAAATTTCATTATTTATTCTTTTTCACCCCATACACAAAATTGGTTTCCTGATTAATATTGAAAAATGTTATGTTTTAAAAGAACACATTTTTTAGGGGGCGGATTTCTTTTATTTCCGGAAGGCCATGAACTCACTAATCTTTTACGTCTCATCTTTCATCCATTATCTGCCATTGTATCTCGGTGGAATTGCCTCGCCTAGAGTTCATAGATTGATGGGGAAGTATCCCCTGGAACAATTTTGTTTTATGTTGCATTTTTATGTACATCGAGAGTAGATCACATTACTGTAACAGGTAATTCAATTACAGATACGTATGATAAGTAACCAGGAGAGTGGTGCTATCAGAAACCAGCTCTGCTGGAGAAATAATACTGTATTTGCTGAGATGTGAAATTAAATAAGTTCTAGGCAAGTGACAATCAGGATTGAGCAAGGACAAATTGTTCACAGGAAATAGAGCCTCTTTTCAATCACTTCAAATCCACCTAACAGTTGGCAACCATATATGAGATGCCTATGAAAGAGGATCGGCGCCAAGGAAAAGTCGTAAGAAAAATTCTGCTGAGCAGTTTCCTGTGAGTTGTCTGTAAAACCAGAAAATGACTAGTGCTTAGCTAAAACTCCCCAGAAGAGATGCATTTCTCATAAGCTAAGTCCAGATAAAATTCCACACAAATAACTAACCTCCCTGTAAAAAACAACAACAACTTGGGAGATCTGACACATTTCAGAGAGGGTTCCCAGGCTGTCCTCAGTCAGCCACCACCGATGGTGGCTGCCCGCTGCCGGGGCTCCTCACGCACGCTGTGGAGAGAGCACATCGGAGGCCAGGCATGTGTACGGTCGGACACCCTGCAACCAAATGGATTTTAGAATCACAGTTGGCTTCTGCGATTGCTTTTACAGGCCCGAGATTTAGATCCGCCATAAAACTTGACCGATTGTAAAGCCGAGAACGTTGTTTGTGAGTGGTGGCATAAAGCAAAAAGAATTGCTGTGGACATTAAACTCCCTTGTCCAGCAGAAATGATAATGAACCCGTGGTTCATGCCACTTGACATACAAGTATGAACTAAAGAAGGATTTGCTTCTGGGACGCCTGTCTTGTCAATTCTCCTGTTTTCTAGCTGTGGACTTGACTTTAAGAAAGTTAGTGCTAGGAAGCTGGGTGGAATAACTACCAGAAGTCCAGGTTTAATAGAGCTGGTTGCCTAATCGGACAGGGAGCCTGGAGAGGCCTCCTCTTTGAATGAGACACTCACTGGTCACGTAGAGGTCCCCAAGGGACGACAGGCCCACCTACTGTGCTGGAGAGAGGTCAGCAGTGGTGGACAGACTCCTGGCTGGAGCTGGGCAGATGGAGAGGCGTGGTGTGGCCAGCAGCGATCGACAGTGGTGTAGCTGTCCCTGTGTGACTCGGGTGTCGGATCGAGGTCCTGCGAGGGCCCTGCCCGAGTTCGTGGGTGGAATATGTGAATGGGCTTGGAGATGGCCAGATGTCAGCGGTGGGTCAGAATCCATGTGTGCATGGGGTCTGTGGACCTTACAGAAACAGGGCCTCAGAAGATAAGGGGGGTTGTGGAGACAGGAAGCCTGGCAGGACGTCTCTACCAGAGTGGTTAGGATGTTTGGTTACCAGGGTAGGGCCTTGGGAATGATGACAGAAAATACATTCCTGGAACTAAATTAGGATGTGCAGAGCAGATTGAGGGAATGGCAGGGCAGAGTCCCCTGAATTTGGATGTCGTGATAGAATCGAGCTAGCAGGACTACCTGCCTGTGAGTGTGGGTCCAAAGCTTAAGTGCAGGGTGATCCTTGGGCTGGAGACTTGCAGTGGGAACTGAACTGGTTCAACGGGGAACTGTGGGGTGGGGCGAGGCTGCTGTGCACCTGAGGCTGGGACATAGGAAGAGTCCTGTGTGACCATGGCTCCCTGACCTGACTCGGCATGGCTGACATCCCTCCCTCCTCACTCCAGTCCCTTCTGCCTCCTTCCTAGCCTTTGTGTGTTCTCTTCCTTCT